CGCGAGGAGCCGCATTGGCAGCGTTCCCACACGCACCATGGGGGCCAGGATGTTTTTTCCCCTGAAGCAGAGAGGTGTGTTCACCGTCATTCCCGTTGCGGTGCTGTTTAAAACAGAGAAAGCAAGACGGGGGGGGGGAAGGTGTTAGCAAACAGCATCCCCTATCAGTAAGCGCCCCAAGCTTCCCTTCGTGGGTGCTGAGGCTGCCAACCTGACAGCCTCCACGCAGGCCGCCGCGACCCCGGCGCCAGCTGCACGGGGAACGGGCTCTGACCTGAGGGGCGCGGGGCCGTGCCAGCTCGCAGTGACCCGCCAAGGGGCTGCGGCAGGATGAGGCCGGCACCCGAGGTACGGCCGCACGCGCTCACCTTCCTCGCGCGGCGCCGGCTGGGCGAGGCGCTGCGTCGTGACGTCATCAGATCGCGCCGCCGCTATCACGCGGGATAGGCCATGGTTCTAAGGCACGGTGGGGTGGCCGCGGCCCGGGCGGCGGGCGCGCAGCCCCCCGAGAACGTGGTGCGCATCCCCTGGGCGCTGCGGCTGCGCCTGCAGCGGGGCGAGCGGGGCTGCCGGCGCGGGCGGGGACAGACGGCGGCAGTGCGGCCCGGTAAGCTGCTGCTGCGGAGCCGGCGGCCGGAGCTGAGCCAGCCCCGCTGGCAGACGGTGGGGCGCTGGGACCGTCCGCAGCTGGTGTCGGCAGGCTGGAAGCACAGGAAGGCGCGTGGGGACTACTTTCAGCTAGAGGCCGTCCAGCAAGCGGCCCCCGCCCTGCTGGCGCCGGAGCCCCAAGCGGGGCAGGGCCCGCTTTTCGCGGAGATGGGACTGCAGCCGGCTCTTCTGACCGCCCTGCGGGACCTCTCAATCGGCCGCCCCACGGCGGTGCAGCGCCTCGCCATACCCGCCCTGCGCCGCGGTCGTAGCGCCCTGTGCGCCGCCGAGACGGGCAGCGGCAAGACGCTGGCCTACCTGCTGCCGCTGCTCGACCGGCTGCTGGCCCGCCCTGCCGGTCTGGAGCCGGCCGTGGAGAAGCCCGAGGGGTCGGGGCCGCGATCGGCGTCGCCCCGCGGGTTGGTGGTGCTGCCGTCGCGGGAGCTGGTGGCGCAGGTGGGCGCGGTGGCGGCGGCGCTGTGCCGCCCGGCGGGGCTGCTGGTGCGCGGGCTGACGGGCGGCGGCGCCGCAGGAGGGCTGAGGCGGCAGCTGCGGGCGCCACCACCGGGAGCCGCTGTGCTGCTGGGCACCCCGGGGGCGCTGCGGACCGCGTTGCGGCGGCGCTTTCTGGTCCTTGGGCGGCTGCGCTGGCTGGTGCTGGACGAGGCGGACGCGCTGATAGACGACGAGTCCTTCGCCGCGCCGCTGCAGGAGGTCCTGGCGCACGCCCCGCTTGCCGCGGGTGCCCCCGCGCCGGCTGGCCCCGGGGAGGAGAGGACCCAGGTGGTGGTGGTAGGAGCCACTTTCCCTGCGGGGCTCAGCCAGATGCTTGCAAGGTTTGTCGACGTGGACTGCTTTGTCAACATCAGCACCCAGAGCTTGCATCGCCTGCCTTCACATGTCCAGCAGAAATTTGTCCGTCTCAAAGGCCAGGACAAGCTGCTTGAACTGCTGCAGCTCCTGAAGGAGCGCTCAGCGTCCAGTGGGGCTGTCCTCATCTTCTGCAACAGTGCCAGCACCGTCAACTGGCTGGGCTATATCTTGGACGATCACAAAATCAAGCACCTGAGGTTACAGGGACGGATGTTGGCAGCTGCCAGAGCTGGCATCTTTGCTTCCTTTCAGAAGGGAGATGTGTCTGTCCTCATCTGCACTGACCTTGCCTCACGGGGGTTGGACACTAGCAGTGTGCAGCTTGTGGTCAACTATGATTTCCCAAACACCCTGCAGGATTACCTACACCGTGTGGGGCGTGTTGGGCGGGTCGGAAGCAAGATGCCTGGAGCTGTGGTTAGCTTTGTAACCCATCGATGGGATGTGGACCTGGTGCGGAAAATAGAGACTGCTGCTCGAAAAAGGACAGGTCTTCCAGGCATGGATGCTTCTCTTAATGAACCTCCTCCTAAAGCAGCTTGATTTGAGTTGGTAATAAATGGCCTGGTAGGGACTAAATTGAATCAATTAAGATACAACAAGTAAGTGTGTAAGGTAGGCTGAAATGATAGAGAATTGAGTTGCAGAACAGGATGATCTGGTTAACTTGGTGCACTGTTTCAGAAACTGTAAAAATCATTTCCAGAGGCATCACAACTCATGAATGTGCCTCTGTGATGTGCGGTTCTGTTGCATTTCAATGTCCCTTATCACTAGCTAAACATTTTTTAAAGTGTCTACTGGCAGGAAAAAAGAAATTATCTTCCCAACCTTGTTACAGCTTTGGCCCAATTTAGTTACATGGTGGAAAGGCAAAATGACAAATTATACATTTTTATGCCTCTAAAGATGGGTGGGAGAAAAATTTGTATAATAAAACTGAAGGCTTTTTCAGGCTTTGATGTCTTTCACTGAGAATAAACATTGGTGCTGCTTTATTGTATTAAAAAAGGCTTTATGTGTTTGCTGATTGTTCTTCATATGGCATGTCTGTTGAAGTGATTTAAAAAAAAAAAAAAAAAAAAAAAAAAAGCTGGAAATGTCTCCAATGGCAGGAAAGAAAGTGTTTTGACTCAAATTCTATTCTAATGGAACAGATGCAGAAAGTTTCTTTTGGGTATGGTGTCACTGTTCTCTTAAACTGAGAAGATTAAAGTGAGGCTGAGGTTATTTTGTATCTAGCTGCTCATTTGCGTCCATGGGAAATAATCACTTAAAAAAAAAAAAGTAATTTAACTATGATTTATACTGGGGGGACTTATTGCAGCTCTTCCTTTTAGTGGCTCTTTCTTCTGTACTATCCATCTCTTTGCCTTTGCTAAAGTTCAGTATGTAGAAATCTGTTAACTGAAAAGAACATGGCAGTGTCTCTGTATCTGGTTTCCAACCAAATAAGGTTCTGGAGCTTAGTATGAGTGAAAGCTGAAGAAACAGAAAACTTGAACAGCCACTTCAGCATAAGGCTATAACCTTTTGCTGCATACTGAAGCTGTGTATTCTGTTCAGTTGCAGTTACAGGATTCTTAGGGTAAAGTTATTTTCTTCAATAGAAGGCTTTCAACTTTGTGAATGAAGTGACATGTACGTTAGTTGTGTAGACCACTCCAAAGTTCATTCCGTAGCAAATCATGCAATTCATGTGTCTGCAGGCAGATGCGTGCTTTCCTGGAGAGTAAATACTTAAGAGCAATTTGGGGGCAATCTGTAGGATTACAATTTACAGAAAACCCTCTTTGTTGAACCACATCTTGTGTTGTATCAGGTCCTGCAAGTGGCTTTAACATGAATACACTGATTATCTTAGATGAATTCGTTTTATTAAATTCCAAGGAAAAAAAAAAAAAAAAACTAGTATTTTCTTGCCTGCTTTCAGGCTGACCATCTCAGGTGTCACATAGCTTCAATCTGATCTAAGGAGGCAGTTTCCAAAGCTGCAGTGCTTTCCCATGTTACATGAATGTGGAGTTACTGTCTTTTAATGTTCTCCCTCCTGAGTGAGCTGGTGATAGTGGCTTTCCCAGTTTCATGTATATTTGCCCTTTTAGATGAATTTTTTTTTCTTCTTTCTTCGCTTGGGATCCCAACTTCTGTTGCAGGTACGCGCTGTAGTATTTTGCTCTGCCACCTACAGTTCCCAGCTAAATAATGTGACTGATTTCTACTACACTGCCTCCTCTCAGGTAACGTTTGATTCCGGGGAGAAAATAGCCCTAAAGAAGTTAAATGATGTCACATAAACATCAGCTTCTGACTGGAGATCCGCAGCCAAAACAACTCGGCAACGATCATAATGCATCGGCTTGGTTTCTATCAGCAACTAAGCGGCACCGGTGATAACAGAGCCGTTCTTTTTTCCTGAGGCGGCGGGGCGGCGTGTCCCTTCACGAGGGGCGCGGGCTCCCGCCGGCGCTGAGGGGCTGTGGCGGGAAGGGGCCGCCCCGCCCTCGCGCCGCGCCGGCTGAGGGGGCAGTCATGGCGGCGCAGGGGCGACTGCTGGTCAGTTGGGCTGACTGCTGGTCAGTTGAGCACAGCAGGGGGCTTGAGGCTGGGGTGTATAACGCACACGTTAATAAAAAATATGAATGTTTGGTGCATGGAGTACATCTCACAGAAATTGGCGTATACGTTTTGAAGGCAGTCGTAAAAGATACTGAAGATGATTGAGACCATATTTGGGTATTGTGGTTATGGTTCTTAGTTAAACTTCAAGTTAAACTTCTATAATGCACTTTCAAAAGCTCCTTAACAGTCTGTGAATCCAGTCAGGACTGAAGCACACAGTGGTGACATCAGACCACATGGTGACACTATAACAGCCTTCTGGCCATATGCTTCTTAAATCTGAAGTAACACGTGCTTTATATATTCACGAATCATAACTTTAAACTTAAACATTTAATCAAAAGAAGGTATTTTAACATTTGTATAAGAACACGTCCAATAAAAGCTTTGGGTAGATATGCCCAGAGAACAGCACATGCACCAATAAAGTCTTGTGTAAATATCACTTTCAGACGAAAACAGTTCTTTTAGGCATATTTTGAGAAATCTCACATAATTATTAGTTAGGCAGTTATTACAGCCGGTCATTAACAGCCATAATTACATCCAGGAGTATGCAGACATTGAGACCCTGGGGAATGCAAGCCTCTACAGAGCCATCAAACGCAGACATGAGCATCAGTGAGACCTCATGTTATACTACACAGTAAGTAAATACTATGGCAAAGACTTGCAGGAGATTTAGAGATTCCATCACAGCTAAAAACATACACAGCTCACATACGGTAAAATGACTGCTTAAGAAATGGACACATTCGTTGATATGTTAGCTAGATTACCAAACTGCTTCTCAGCGCCCTTGGTAAATGTCATGTCACTCATTGCTCACATCCTAATAACAGCCCACACGCAGAATTGTTAACTTGCTCATTTCATGTCTGTCCATAATTACACCTTCTGTTTAAACACATCTTATCCTTTATGGACATAACTACAGCTGTTTCCTCTTAGGGAAACCACAAGGGCATTCAGACACTTCTGATGGTGCCTAGCAGCAAGGTACCTAAAATGCCCCTGTATAGCTGTTCTGTCAGACACCGCCCTCCTCTCTTCTCCTGAAAGGTATTTCTGAGCCCCACTTACACATTAGTGGTTGAGTGTGTGGTAGAGAAGTTCTCCATGCGTATTCTGACCAGCTTCTCAGTGGGGACTGGCTGCAGGAAGCACTTGCAGTTGAAGGCCTGCTGACAGGCCTTGCGGAAGTTCTCTGAGAGGAAAGCGTAAATGATGGGGTTGATGCAGGAGTTCCCATAGGCCAAGCAATGGGAGATGATGCGGAAGGTGAAGGAGATGTTGTTGAGGGGAAAGTGCCCAAACTCTGCCCACATTGTGATGATGTGGTGAGGCAGCCAGGAGAGCAGGAACACAGCAACCACAAGAAGCACTGTCTGTGCTGTCTGAAAAAGATGAGATGAGGAATTAAATGGTTACAGTGCTCCAATAAGTCTGTGATATGAGTTTGAGCTCCACAGCCAAGGCCACATGATACAGGCAACACTTCTGCTAGGTGAGCAAACTATGACTGTAAGAATGCTGAAAACCAACCTTCTTCCCTGCAAAAACAGAATTTCCTGGTTTTAGCTTATGTAATAGCTTAAGATGTTGGCCACAGCTGTGATGGCCTCTAATAGCTGTGGCTGGGGAAGAAGAAGGAGGTCTGTGCCTCAGGAGGGCTGAGCAAGGTGGTGAAGTAATCTGATGGGCTTGGCTGCCAGAGTGGGAAGGGTGTGATGAGAGGCAGCCTAGAGAAAAGGAAGGTGGTGTGAGCTGCTGGAGTTATTTTTGTGTGATACTTAACAGGTTGTTTCTTAGGGTTTCATTCCACCTATTGAGAGGAAATGGTAATTTGGGGATTGAATCTTTGGCTGTAGGGAACCCAGATGGAGAGGGGGTTGGATGCAAAGACCAGGGTGTCAGTGTTTTGGGGCTGGGAGCTAAATCAGTCTGCTAACCACAGAAAAGAGATCCCCATCAATGTAGGTAAAATCCCTTGCCCTCTGAATGTTGCTGTGAAACTTATTTTGAGAGCACCTGCAGGATGCACAACAAGAAATAACTCAGCATTTATTGAAAAGCTTTTTTTCCTTTCTAGAACAAAAACTGCTTGGCCCAGTATAGTTTAGAGTCTGTCTGACATTAAAAATTACTTCTGAGGAGGAAAAAAAAAAAAAAAAAAAAAAAGTACAGAAAGAAGTTGTTGAAGATGATTTCTTTCATTGACTAAGTTACTAGTAGAAGCAAGCTATAACTGGCCATAGCTTCCTTTCTGCAGTGGGGATTCTATGTGGTCACAATCCCTCTTCTCAAGTTTAAGCAGCCTCGGAGTGTTGCTTTTATCTCACTTTCTACATGTAGTGCAGGCAGGGGATACATGAGCAAAGCTCAGATGTTACTGACTTGGGCCCCAGGGAGTCCTTCCTACTGTTTTTGCAGGGCCATTTCCATCTCTTTTCAGAAATACTAAAGGTACCAGAAGGTGAGGGGTTTTTTGTTTGATTTTGTTTTTCTGTAGCCTATTCAATCCGTCCTTGAAACATTGTAATAGAAGTTTATCAGGTAACTTTTTTCTCCTCCTTACTGATTCTCAGCAAAACGTGTGCTTTAGAGGTTATCACTTCTATTTTGTCGCTTGGATAAATGTAACAATTTGTGAATATGCAGGTCTTATCTTTCTCCTAAGGAAAATGAGTTGTTGTATAAGTAGCAGGAAAAAAAGAAAATTAAAAATGAGAACATGGGCTTCATTTCAGCTTAAGGATTACAGTCTTGGTAGTCTAGGTCAATGCTTCGGTCACTACCTCTGCCATAATTTCAAGCAAACAGCAAGCAATTACTTTGCTAGAACAGAGATAATTTCCTAGTGAAGAAAAACTCATTTAATCACTGGTTATAGAGACTGCATCTAGCAGTTGTTTGCTGGAGAAACACCTGCAGGTTTTCAAATGTCATTTAAAATTACTGTAGCACTCTGTTACCTTACCTGTTATGCTAGAATGTATAAACAGAGGTTATAAAGAGTCAGAGTTATGTTTATCCAACAACAGAGCGCCTAAGCTTTTCTAGGAGAAAGTGAATCTATCCCTGACTTGCAATATGTCAAGTGAAAAAGCTGCTGAAAATCCTCTGTACGTGCTCCAACTTTTCATCAGCACTCCACAGCTGGTATGACTTGCCAAAATAAGCAGATCACCTTGGCAGTATTTCACTGGTGGCTAAAGAGGTTGAGTAGAGTTGAGCTGAGCAGGAAGATTTTTGGATTCCCAGTAGAATGGGAAAATGTTTCAAGAGTCATTTACTCCTCCCTTGATACTCTGTGTTTCTGGTGAGATAGAAACTGCAGCTTGTTTTCCTAAGTCTTCATGCTTAGTGCTGTATAAAGGATAATATGAGGAAAACAGGGGAATTGAATGAGCAACAGAACTGAAGCTGGATTTCCAAAGGGATCACGTCATTGATGATTTCTCTGGTGTCTTAAAATACTATTTGATTCTCAGAGCATTTGCAGTATTTCCTTTGTCAGTGGTGCTTCAATAAAAATGCAATAAACTTCACTCATCTGGAGTTGACTTCATTGAGGGCTTTTTCTTTCTTCCTGTATCAGTAAAGGAGGTTATAACGTACATGAATGTATATAGGCTGACAGGGGGCTTTTGTATTGCAGACCAACTATGAAGATCATGTTCTGGAGGTGATGACAGCAATGGAGGAAACATGACAGCATGCTCCAGGGAAGAGTAGGATGGCATTTCTTTTCAAGAAGTAAGTAAGATGCTTAGGTATTGTGTAAAGTCACTGGTCCTGAAAAGTGACTGCAGTCCCATGCATAAGAACTTATGGGAGCCACTGCAGAAATATTTATAAACAAGTGGTAAATGTTTATAAACTATCTTTTTGCAAGAGGTCAAAGATATGGGGCAAAATTTCAGGAAATCCACTTGTCTTTCAGATTCTTCTGTTTCACTTTCGTAACAGCCCTATGATGCTCTTGAAGTTTCAAAATCCTTCGGGGTTGACTTCATTTTTAAAACACAAACAAACAAAAAACAACCATGCATTTCTCAGAAACTGCTATGCTCACGTGTTTAGGTTCATTTCTTCATTAAATCTATTGCTGGAACTTATTTATCTAGTCAAATGAAGTTAGTTCAGGACTTTCATGTTGTGCTAACCTTTCTAAAACCTGCATTAAAATCTGAAGAACATGTGGGTGTGCTACAACTTAATTACTGCTTATAACATATATTTATTCTGGCTTTATATGTGAATGAATCATGCTAATATGTTTTAAGTAAATTCTGTTTACGCTAACAGTAGTAACGTGGGTGAAGCCTAAAGGTGGTTTCTTGGGAACTGTTTTTTTCTCCTGTTTGTTTAACCCTACAGAAAAGTCAACTGCATGATGAGATGTGGGGATGTTCTCTGTATTGGACAGGCAATATCTTTGTTGTGTTTACATAGGGCCTGCAGCAATGATCTCCTGCAATAAAAACAGATGATCATTGAAACAGAAAAATGTGTTTGGACGAGAGGCAACAGTGCTATCTTCACTTGTTCTTAATTGCATTTGCAAGTCAATCAAATCTGTTGAAGTCTAGGAAGATCTTATTTCATCAGATCAAGATTTTTGTGCAGATTAGAGAAAATAAATTAAAAAAATACAGGGAGGAGAGAGATTTAACTGAAATAAATGCATCAAGTAGGTTTGTGTTCATTTTGAAAGGCCTTTAGATTCATCTTACCTCTAGCATATCTCAGGTGCTTCCTTATTTCACACACCAGAATGCTATCTGACATATATGGTGACAAAGCATATTCCTATGTGAATAAATGACCTCTGCTTGCAAACTCTTGGAAATGACCACATGGGGAACCAGAAGCTGTCCTTAATAAGGTACTGATATAACAGGGAGTTGATGGAACTGAAAGACACAGAAGAAGCAGTCTTGTTGGGTCTAGCTTGCCTACTGTGGTATGATAGGTGGTAATGAAATTATTAATGACTTGTAGCTCTCTTAACTCTCACCAGCAATAATGGTGCTACTTTTTTTGCCCTGTATCAATGATAAGTAGCTTAGGCTTGTTACCAAGACTATCTTTGATAGCATCCCTGTGCTTGAATTAGGAGGCTACAAGCACTGAAAAATTCTTCTTAATAGGGGCTACCAATCTAGATTATCTTTTCTTCTTACCGGGAAATGACAAACCATGTATTCAGCATAGGGTTAGTTATTAAAAATGAAGCTGCAGTTGCTGTGTATTAGCACAAAGCTGTTTCTGAGATCCAACTTTTTGGGATTTTGCAGATGTAAATATAGACAATAGCAGAGCAATTATATACATAATTCATAACTCAAGGAACATGTTTTGGAAATTGAATTTTCATCTTTTTTTTTTTTTTTTTCTTTTTTGAATTATGGGGTACATGGTTAAGAGGGGAAACTAAAACAATGTGTTGTTTTACTTTTAACATGACACTAACCAAAAATAGTGTTAATACAGACTGTAAACAGCTGCAGAAGACTGATCCAAATAACTTGTGTACTGTTTGAGTTTGTTCAGTGAGTTCAGATAATTCTGAACTGTTAATGCTGGTCTAGCTGTGCCCATGTTAACACTATGATTCATTTCTGAAGCCTCATTGGTCCATGTTAGGCATGTACAGTGGCCAATATTGGATTATTTAACTGTTGCTTAGTAATATCTCACACTCACTTTCAAGCTTCACAAAACAACCTTGCAGTTCATTTGGAGCTAAAGTACAAAGGAAGTGTACTAAGCTACACAGAGGATCGATGGCAGGCTGGGAAGTAGAGACCAGGGGAAATCATAAATATGTTTGTTAAATAAACAAATTTTTTCCTTGGGTGCTCCGTCTCCCCTTATTCTGCTATTTTTACAGCTGATCTCTAAGGTCCCTACCAACCCAAGTGACTTATGATTTGAACCTTATTTATAGCTTTCCTGCTTTTCCTTTCTTTCCCTTTGATTTTTTTTATTTTCCTTAGCCCTGAACAAGCTACGTCTTGCTTTTGGTTGTCCTCTGCCCTTCAAAAAGCAATAGGAAACATGTTTAAAGACCTATTTTTGAGGGAGATGGCTCATTCTGCAGGGTGATGAAGCCTTTAGCATTTTACTTTGGCTTTGGAGCTGTTATTCTTGATGAAATCATAATGAAAATGCTTCAACTTGTCAAGGGCAAAATTAGGATTGCACTGTAATGAATCAAATGCTTCAAGTATTCAATGGGCTTATCTATATTTTGTGTAACTACCTGATGCATTAGATTAACAAACCGTATTGAGATTAAAATATGCACTGGGTTGAGCAGTCTAAAAGCAGAGACTTTGGAGAGAAGGCCTGTCACGTTCCTGATCTAGTTTAGCCAGATTTTTAGCTG